TAAAGAAACTTCAAGAGAATTCTGGTCAATTTGGCTGCTGTTTATTCTATCCATTTTATATTAAAAGTTGCACTTTTATTTTAGTATTGGTAGAAGACTTGCAGCTATAAACAAAACATTATAAACCTAAAATTTTAAAACAGTGCTTTAAAAATTTATTTTTTTTTTTTTTGAAAGGGAAATTTTTGGTAACTGCGGAAATTTTGAAAATGTTACCAAATTTATTTTTAATGCACCAAGTCTATTTCAAAATTGTAAAAAAATAGTAGTTTTGCTGAAATAAAAAATTTCCCTTCAGGGGAAATTCTTAAAAACTTGAGATATTTAGGAAATTGCAACATATTCTACACCTATAATCAAAACACATTACAAAAAATCATGAAATTTTGAAACAATTCCTTAAAAATGAAATTTCTTTGAAAGGGAAATTTTTAAATTGTGGAAATTTTCAAAATTTTACCAAATTTCTTTTTAATGCACCAAGTCCATTATAAATTGCAAAAAATTACTAAAGTTAAGTTTTCTTAAAAACTTGGGATATTTTGAAAATGTCAACAAACTTTGCATATTTCCTAGGGAAATTTTAAAAATGTCAACAAATTATGAATATACGGCCAAAACACTTAAAAAAAACTCTAAAATTTTAAAACAATTTGAAAATTTTATATTAATGATAGAAATTCATTACAAATTTGAAATATTATTCGACCTTGCAAATTAAATTAAACAGTGTACCACCTATCATATGGTGTAAATTTGTATAACTCTAGCTACTGCTTTGTTAAATGTATTTAATTTTTTCGTATTTATCTATTTTTCAGTTTTTTTTAATAAGATTTGATTTTTCAATATGTATTGAATTCTAAAAAGTATGTCTAGATTGTATAGATGATATAGGTATACGTTTTTATTTATTTTACAAGATAAGATATCATTATTGATAATAATTATCACAGACGGAATACAATGCGTTCTTTACATTTTAAGCATATGGAAAAAATATACACATATTGAAGTATATATTAGCAAGCATCCCCCAAATAACCAAATATAAATGACACGCTATTAAATGCGTGTCATTTGTACACTGATTACTCGTGTAATTTTTGCAACACTAATTTTACACCCCATATAGAACTTGCTCTCTTTACAAAGAGCCAGGGAAATCTGTTATACATTTTATTAAAATGTATGTGTGTAAAAATCTATAAATTTTTTAGATTTTTTTTCCATGCATTTTGCAATTTATTTTCTTTTTTATAAGGTTAAATTCCAATATTAATAATTTATATATGTAGTTAATAAGCTTCAAATTATAATTTCATACAATAATTTTCTTTTACCGCATTGTAATTAAAGACACTTTTCTCACGAGAAAAGAAAATTTCACGACACATACTTTTTGTTGTTTTTAAAAACCGACAAGGCAAAACGAAAACACTTTTCTGGAACATTCTAATGAAAAAATAATACTAATTTTCTAAAAAACAAACTGAAAATATGCAAAATTTAAACTTTTTATTTAAATTTCGAATCCTTTTTACAAAAAACTAACCACCATTTCCAATATTACACATTTTTTTGTATTATTATGCACAAAATGTCTGCCATTGTTTTTATGATTTTTTTTAGTTTTCACTTTTGTTATTTGTTCACAAAAATACTTACATTAAAATAAATTAATTTATTCAATTTTTCTATATGTACAATTTGTTTAATAAAAACAATTCACTTCACGTTTTAACGCCTTTTAAAATAAAGACAAATGCTATAGATTTTTTCTTAACTTTCTTGTTGTACGTTCTTTTCTCTTTGCTTTGTGATTTGAAACTGAATACAGAACCAGAGTTGCCGGCTATTTTAATGTGCTTTTAAACTGACGTGTACTTTTTCACTGATTGTATGAGTTGTGCTCCCCAATTTGTAATTTTCAAAGTATTTTTCTTCTCTTTGCTGTTTGAACTGACGTGTAAAATACTTATTTGGGGAAATTTGTTATTGAATTTTGTTTGCATTCTCTCCCAAAAGAGGCAAAATGCAGGTAAATGTCATTTTGTTGAATTCTGATTGGTCCACGTTATCATTACTTATTTATTTCTCTTCTGTTAGCGCTGCCAACTTTCTATATAATCTGTTATAATATTTTTTTATAACAGCTGTATTCTCTTTAAATATTTTGACAACTGTTTAAAAGAGAGCTTATTATTTGGGGTTAAAATTAGTGCTGTTAAAATGAAACGAATATTCATGAAATTTCCTTAAATATTTTTGAGACCTTTTTACCTTTAATACATACATATGTATGTATGTACATATTTGTTGTTTCTTATCTATGCACATATTTTTTCAAGTGCACAACATACGAATTTAAATCCAGAATACACTACCTAAATATTTAAAAAACGAGATAACACAATATACTCCCATAAATAAATTTGATATACCTATTGTCAGAATTATTAATGATATAGATTTGTTATCTGCATTTGTCCCAAAAATATGTTTACATTTCATTAATAATAAGCTTTTGAAAAGTAATAATTTCTTAACTGTGATACATCACTTGACTTCAAACATCCATAATTCACTTTTCCAGACTAAATTTTCTATTTCTTATACACATATTCAGTATACATTTATAAAGCTGATCCTGCCAAAAAAGTATTATTAAAAAACAATATTTTTTGAATAATAGTTGTTATTGCTATTTTTATAGAAAATTATTTAGTATTAAAAAGTTTATTTTGAATTAAAATTTATTTCCGGAATCGAATATAAATCGACTTTTGAACAATCGAATTTTTTTAAAATAAAGTCGAAGGTGACTTCAAAAAAACTCGGTAAATCCACAATCTTGACAAAAGATTGTCGAAAGGAAAAGATTGTCGGCATTTTCTTGATGAATTTTTTTATTTTGTATGAGGACACAGATGAATTATATTTCTGTATTCTTTTGTCTTATACAAAATCAAATCTTGCGCAAGTAAAAGTATCTAATCAAAATAAAGACAAAAATTCGAAATATGTCGAAAAAAGGAATTTTAAGGGATATTAAAAATTGCTGCATAAATTATTTTTGGTAATTGTGATTTGTATATTTTACAACACTAATGCAAAATTTCAAATAATTGGCAACACTTTTTAATTCCGTTAAAAATGTTTTCAAAAAAATACCTCGATCTAATACTACGTTCACACAGTCATGTTTCACATATACATACATACATATATAAAAAACTTTTAATAAGAATGAAATTCAGTCTTGTAGCAAATGAGCGATAGTATATTTCAGATCCTTATAAGATCTAGATAATCACAATGCTCAAGTAAGGTCGGGCGGAGCATTGTTAAACCTACATAGTTTATTCTAAAATTTTGTGATTTTCAATATTCTGTTATTTTATTATCTTGGTTTAACCGAGTATTATTGGCCGGTTAAACTTAAGTTAGAATTGAAAAAAAAAACACAAATAACAAAAACAATAAAATAATCAATTCGGAAGAAGAAATACTTTATACTTATTTTAGGTAAATAGTATTTTTTTGATTTATTTTAGCAATATTATGATTGTTTTCAATGTTTATTTTTTCTTAAATTTTTCAATTTACAAAAGTATTATATGCAAAAACAGCTGTTCATGTTTTTGACTGAAAAGTTGGCAATAGTAACAAAGTTAACTGCTCTTAAATCCATTACTGATTAAAGTCCGCCTAAATTTGTTTCTAGTTTAATCTAACAGCAAGTTAAGCCACAATTAACTGAGTAGCAGAAAACCCGCCCTAAGTTTTCAGCATTGAGCTATTATAATGTACACTATTGCCGTAATCGGGCAACATTTGACAATCATAACTATCTTTAAAATGCCAGTTTATAGATAAAATTTATAGAAGTTTTATAGATATGCATTAAAATCTTGATTATAAAACAGTAAAAAATTATGAAATAATGATAAAATTTTAAAATAATTATTTATTTTAAGAAATTAATCAGACTTATAAACTCTGTATAGCTCGGTCCACAAGTGTTTTATTATTTTTTTTGTTTATTTTATTTCAATTCAGGTAATAATAAGAAGCCATATTTGGCCAAAAAACATTATTACAGAGCTTACATCTAAAAAAATTCAAATTTTACAATTTAATTATTAAAAATAAGTTGGAATTAAATATAGAAGGCCCCTCAGCCAAATTTGTAAAGAATAAATAACAATAAAGTAAGGTCCATGATAGTAACAGCAATGTTTATATTAAAAATAGATGAAAGGAGATTATGATGACTCACACATATGCAAATATAGTTTATGTTTAAATATGTTAGCCGAATTTGCAAACACCCTAAGATCTGGTGGTAGGCAGTTCCAGAGACGGGCAACTCTCACAACTTATTAAAGGTCCTAAATCTAATAAATTCGTAAATTTTGGTAGTAAATAAGATAAGTACCGATTCATAAAGACCTATATGTGTATCTAGTGTTGTAAATTAATATTAGATTTCTACATAAAAAAGATAGACTTGAATAACACAAACCTTTATAATCCTTTAATTATTTAAATAGTTTGTTTTTATGTGTATATATGTATTATAATAATTCATTTATTTTTGTTTCGATTTTATTTTGGATTTCTTGTGGATCTTGTTTCTTGTCACTTTTAGGTTTATTTAATCGTTTTTCTTGAATTCGCTTGATTTTTTATTTTTTTTATTTATATTAGTTTAATAACATTTTTAATTTTTTTATAAATTATTATGTATATAACGGTTTGAATATATTAAATAATTATTTTATTTTTATTTGTTAAGTATTTGTAATAGAATATTTTGTTTTTGTGTTTTTTTTTGTTCATAGGTAGTAAAGAGTTTGAGGTGGCTTAATAAAAACTATGTATAACAAAATTAAATTTTATAATTAGAAGATTAAAGTCTTAATTATTATTTAAAGTGCAGCATAAAAATATATTAGTTTAGTATTTAGTTGTATTCTTATTTATTTTAAATAGAATTTTATTTTTAATGACACATAAAAGGACACATTTTTTGTAAAATTTGATTTTTGGCATTTTAATTTAATAATTTAATAAAAGAAAATAAAAATGTTGGGTGTTTGTGTGATACATTTATCGGAATTGAGATTTTGTTTTCTAAAATAAATATTGAGGGACTTTATTTAAAACCTTTTATTTTCCACAATACAAGTTTCCAGGAGTGTAAGAACTGTTATGTTCACTAATTCGACAGAATTTTAAAATTATTTTTAGGACCTCACCTAAATCCTTCATATAGTACATACATGCATATAGTAGACTGCATAGTGTAGATGAATGAAACGAACTTTTTACAGTGCAATTTGATGGAATTTCGTTTTCGGTGCCGATTACGGTGTACGCGGAAACGTAGCTTTACAAAAACGTACCTACGGTCGTAATGTAGATTACACACAATTGTAAAGCATTGGAACGAAATGAAACTGCTTTTTCTTTTTCTTACGATTCCATTTTCTATTGGAATACTTCTTTCATACGTGGCGTTGAATAAAATTTTCATTCAATACTTCATAAAAAGAAAATTTCTTTTGGTTTAAATGTGAGTACAATCCCCAAAAACTTATATTTTGGATACATCTCTTTTTCTAGACAAAATAAAAGGTCTTGGGAATATCGTTCTTTTAATAAACATATCCTATATAGAAATAACATCCGAAATATGTTCAATATATCAGAAAAGTAACAGTATTTTTTTCAGAATTTTGTTTATATCCCCGTTATATATTGTTGATTTTTAATAGCAAACTTTTCGAAAGAATGTCTGATAGAACTATTTACGATTTGGATTACGCAGATATCTGGGGTCTTCAGATAATTGATTATAGTTGGAGGGACAGAATGACAGATGGATATAGCTAAAGGGACTTCCCGAACTATATTTTATCTTTTTAAATCATTTCAAAATTTAATACCTCATTTTCACTACTTCGAAATCTAGATTCTAGAAGATTTTTGATATTAGGAACATTTAATTTTTTCCAATATTTCCCCGAATTGTGTGAAAAAATTAGAAGGAAATATGGGATATTTATTAGAATTTCATTTATATTAAAAATAGATATTTAAATATTACACTATCTTCTATTTTAAATTAAATTTTCATTCATGATTTCCAAATTATAAAAATTTGTTCGACATATTGATTTTCTTCTTTGCTTTTGTCTCTCATTCTGCGATATTATTTAAGAAAAAAATAAAAACTACTAGATTTTGAGTAGAGTTTGCCAAAATCTACTTACGAAGTATATTTTGTTTCGCAAGGAAATTCTAGTTAAAATCAATTAGATTTGACTCGAAATCCCATAAATACTAGATTTCGAAGTAGGGATATAAAGGTATAAAGAAGTCTAAAAACTACATAATAAAATGTATGTTTTATTTCAAATAGTGTTGCCAAATTTTTCATTTTATCATCTACTTTAGTTTTTTGGCTAAATGTTATACAGAGGTGGTTTCCAATTGTATTGAAACTTTTTCAACATTATTTAAAAGTTTAAAATGTTTTCTAAATCCTAAGCTATTTTTGTCTCAAAATATCGTTTTATAGTTTAGTTATGGGCAAATATATAGAGTAACCTCCTAAGGCTGCAAATACAATTCAATTTAACCTCAAATGTTTAAGAAAACTAAGGGAAATAGAAAATAATTAAGAAAGTCAACAAGTCCCTAAAGTTTCCGTGTGGGCAGCTTAATTTATTTAATATTTGTTATTATATTGATACAATATTTAAATAAAACATTTGTATAACAGAATTTTTGAAAATTTGTTTTTTTCATACAAAATTTAATAGTGCATCTTACTGAAAAACTAAAAAAAAACTAAAATAAAAACTTGTCAATATTAATTGTTATTTTTTCATCAATTTTTTTTATTGAAACTCTTAAGTTTTAGTAAAAAGTCCACATTTTCCTTTTTGTTGGTTTCATTTGAAAATTATTTTTTTTTTTGGTCCAAAGCAACAGAAAACAAAAAATTACATTAAAAAAACTTACTTTTTATGCTTAAATATTCTAATAATAATTTTTAATAGTAATAAAAAATCATTAACAAATCCTTTTTTAAGGGCGACATAATTGTTATTGTTATTTTGTGTTGCTTATTTAATTAATCATTCATTCATTCATGTCTTACACCGCATATCGAGAGGAAAGTACTGAAATTGTGTAAACTGCATGCTGGCAAAACCGTAAAAGCAATAATGGCTGTATCCTGACATTTTTGGCGGAAATCATTTAAAGCTGTTAGTATTAGATCCACCGAGGGTGTTGCCGTTACTTGATAGAACACTTTTAGGTGTATGGCCGGTATGCTCGATGGTGTGGTATGGTGCTGTTGTTGCTGATGATGATGATCTAGAGATCCGTTATTATTTGTAGCGTTTTCAAGATTTTCACTACTTTTCACTAGAGGATAGTCTTTGAGAAGACGATTTACTACGTATGTTAGAATTTCATCCATATTTTCAGCGGTAAGATTTTGTGCTAAACGACAGTGATTAGTTAAAATATCATCGGATAGTTGAGTTAGTTGTGTGGTTGAAGAGGCCAAGCCTAGAGGGGAAAAGTAAAGAGAAAAGAAGTTTTAAAATGTGACTTTTTCTATATTTCTGATATGATTTTTTAAGTTATGCTATATTTTGTTAATAAAATTTTAAAAAAGAATGCTTTTAATGAATCCGTTATAGAAATTTAAAAGAGAAGTCTATCGAGTAATTTCCTCAACATTTTTGAACTATGTTTGTAGCAAGGTGAGCAATTCGTCTAAAAAAATATAAAGTAATTTAATTTGCTTGCAACTTTTATCGAGCGTGAAATACTTTTAAATATATTAGTTAAAATGAAAAATTTTACATTTTTATTCAATTACACACAAAGTAGTTGTCGGTCAATACAATTAATTACCTGTTGAAATGTAGCAAACAATAGCAGCACAGTTATTTTCATAATTCCAACGTCTTCTTATAGAAATTGTATAGTCACTAATTGAGCAGCCAGTCTCTTCATCTACATGATTGTTAAAATGTATTTCAGTTATGGATACACGTGTTTTTACAAAATACTACTCTACTTACATTCGAAGCGATCATTGTGGGTATGGGCCCATACCTGCCATTCAACCAAAGCTTCTCTGGGCAATGCAGGAACTACTATATAATCCATGATGGCATTTGTGGTACGTCTCTCCCATTGACGACGTGCTTCGGCTATAAAGGCTGGATGTGTAACAAAACAAATGCCATGTACGACATCACGTAATTGTCCCTGAGCATTCATTGCCTTGGCAATACGTGATATATGGCGCAATGTTAATTTACATTGAGGACGTATACCACCTTCAATGATTGTCATACTACCAGGTACTAAAGCAATTTGACCAGAGATATAAGTTATTTCATCAATCTGCAAAAATACATGAAAACAATTACACCTAGGATTTAACACTAAAAGCAACAAACATGAACAGCAATTATAGCAATGTAATACCTTGGTGGATTGACTGTATGGACCAATATTGGCTGGAGCCCAATGTGATATACTTTGTACATGCATAGTGTTACGTTTGCATGATACATCATTTGTGCAACTACTGCTACAGCTATTAACCATGACGTTAGATAATTGATCATCTGAACCCTCACTTTCTTGTATAGAAAGTGTTGCTCTTCTACGCATGGGTGCTTTAAAAGCAATAGCTTCCAATACAACATGACAATCTTCCGGCAATGGACATTCAACACACACCCTAGTGGGTGGATTTTGGAAATTTACAGCTTGTCCGTAAATTCTATTAACCGTGGCGTATTCGCTAATGGAACGCACATACATTGTAATGTAACAGTAATTATTCATCTCATAATTGTGCTCTGCAGCTAAGGAGCGTAGGGAGTCTAAGGCATGCTGCATACCCTCTTCTAATGTGGCTGCACAACCTGAAATAAATTATATTAAATTAATAAATTATTAAAAATCAATAAAATATTTTAGAACATCCTTGGAACATCACTACTTCGCCATAACTTGTTATTGTTTTTAAGTTCCCAGAAGTTATCAAGATAGGCGGTTGAATGAACTTAAAAATCAAGTAACACGAACTTTTCGATAGATACTTAAACCAATGATAACAAATCTCTGACTGAAAATCTTTAACAAAGTCGTTATATAAAACGCGTGTCCTGGACCAGTACGGAAAGTGGCAATTTAGAACAAAAGGCATTAGTGTCATCGGCCAACTATTATTCCAACGACAGCCGATAATACGCACGTGAATGAACATTTTTGAAAAGCCCGAACCAGAAGAATTGCGAAAGTCTACAACTTTGTAAAACATATGGAGTTCTTTCTCAGGATCTTATCTCCAGAGGCCTATATATTGAAGTTCATGGTATTGCAGTGAGAAACCGATATACATATGTATTTAGTAAGTAGACTTTATTAGGGATTTCAATACACACAATCAGCTCTGACACTATGGTCAGGAGGTGAAGAGAAAGGTGCATTGCTGGCGGAATTGATTGATGTGATTACGATTACTTTAGTTGACGCTCTGTGTGGAAATATTTAAAGTTGCTAAAATGCTGGCCTAATGGCTGTAACAGCATATTTACAAACTATTTTGAATAACCGCCTACAAGGGGAATCAAAGAACTAATACCATAGCAAGCTTAGATATCGTCCAAATTTAGACCTAATGAACAAGTTCTGGAATAAACACAACGTTGCCAAGAATGCTTGTAAACTTTTTAAATTGTTTTATTAAACTCCAATTGGTGGTTCTTAATGCACATTTAAAATCTAACTCACCTTGTATGCCTGTTACCCACATCCAACCTTTGTGATTAATGGCAACTATGGGTCGATTATTCAATGGACGGAATTCACGCTCATATTTAAGAGGACTCGGTGGCTGTGTATTTAAGCAACCACTTATAAGTGACGACATCCCGCCACCTAAACCACCACCAGCAACCCCACCGGCTGTTAAAGCCATCGAGGAAATGGCTAACGATAGGCTACCGCAGACTGCTGCTGTACTACTGCCCAAGGGACGTGGCGGACCAAAACTGCCAGCCTGCAATGAGGCAGTACACAGAGCAGCCGACGAGGATAGCAATGCAGATGGTGTTTGCTCATCAACACTTGCGCTCTTCGTCACTATCGGTATGGGTGAGGATGAGGTGGCAAGATGTCGACCAAATGAGTTGCTACGCGATATCAATTCATTTTGACTAAGGGATTCACGCATGCGTGTCTCCTTTTCGATCAATTCAAGCTCAGTTTCACTGAGATCGGGATCACTGAGGTCACTATATGTGGATTCATTGAGGTCACTTATGTAGTCCAGAGATTTTTTCACAAAAACATCACAGCTCTGTTGCGCTTCTTTGGGTTGTAACGATAGTTTGGTGAAATTAATATAGCCAACGGGACAAATAGGATCAGCAGAACTAATAACAGTTTGTATATCATCACTGCAAAAATTAAAGTAAAAAATAATAAAACAATAAATTTTAATTATAGCTTTACAAAATCGTTATTAAACTTTTATTAAAACTTAACCTACACTACTATACGCTGCTTAAAGAGAGGACAATCTAGGGTAAAAGTTTCATATTCACCACCTTCACCGCAAACATTCAAACCGTATTTATCACGCATTTTTATCAAATGAGGTTGAATTTCTCTAAGTGATTTTCCTAAATGACGATCAGGAACTAAACCCAAAGTAGCCACCTGTGAACGAAAGAAAACAATGAACATTTGTGTTTCTGATTCTGATTCTGTTTTACTTTTATTAATATGGCATGAACTTGACAATCAATCATTTCTTGCAGTAGTTCAGTCTGATCTCTCCTCCATAAATAGGCCAATGACACTAAATTCAAACGACTACATACATTCTCCACTCTGACTCGTTGATAATCGGAGAGTATGGCACCTACAGCCACCGCTTCAGCTTGTACTTCTTCCTGTAAAAAATAAAAGAAAGAAAATATTTTTTTAAATTTGTAGAATTGATAAATAATATAAAAATGTTCTGTTTATTTAAATTATGCAGGGAATGTGGCCTTAAAAATATGCTTAAGTCTGACTGCGTGTCTACTTCTTTAAAATTGACATCGAATGTTTTAATAATGTGGTTGTTTAATGTATAAACGTTAGTAATTTATATTAATGTTTACTAAATAAGTACATTCTTATTTATTTTCCTTTAAAATTCTTTTATTTATTTCGGCCTAAGTACTTAACGGTATTTACTATATTATCTGTGATAAGAAATCTAAATGCATATACAGTAAAATATACATATATAATTTTTTCATTCCGTAAACAAACAACATGCAAATTTATAAACATTAAAGATATATTTAAGTTAAAATAAATGAAATTCTTAAATTAAATGGCCTTGACTTCATATGTTTTTATTATAAATTCAGGGAAAATTGCAATTAAGATACATATTTAGAACTACTAAATAATTTTGAATCAGAAAAGTTAATGCCATTATTAAATAACAACATTATTTTTTAAATATATTCAGAGATTTAATGAATTGTTGTTCAAGATATGGGATCTAAAAAAGGCAAAACAACATTTTCACAATAACAATTTATGTATTCCTATGACACACAGTGGTATAGGAAAAAAAAAAGAGGGAAATAATTCGGTAACTTCTAAACGGTTAATCCGATTTTAATGAAATTTGGTATGCCCAAAGAGGAGGTGTTGTCGAGTTTAGGTTTTGAATTTGGACCTTATAGGCCAACCAGGGGCCCGGCGGGGGGGTCCTCAAATTAGGACACCTCGGCTATGTTAAATTTTTAAAACGATCCTATTTCTTCATTTGAGTTCCGATTTAAAAAAAATGTAAATTTTCTAAAAGATGTTTAGTTTTCCCTAATTAATTTGTCACTTAAAAAACATTAGGTAGGCATGTTATATATCAATGGAAAGGTAATTTTGTCTATTTTTCAAAACTGTATATAATTTTTGAAAATTAAAAAATTCGCGGAATACTTTTTTTTTTAAAAAATTAAAAAATGTTTTTTATTCAGTTTTTGCGAAGATACAAATTTTTCAAATTGCAATAATTTATTTATGAATATTTTTTGATGAAATTTTACAGTTAGGTAGATTTTTTTACTCAAAATCCAAAATTAAATAAAAATTTCGAATTTTCTTATTAGAAATCCCGGAATTCCCAAAAAAGTTTTAAAAAATCCCAAAAATGGGATTTTTGGTTTTTTGCCTATTATATCCATACCAGGGGCGGGGTTATCGAAACCCGTTACAAAATGATTAAGAACATATTGGGTCATATAAAACAGGTCACTATAATTTGATATCGACTATGCGATTTGAGAATTTTTGCTCAAAATTGAATTTTCAATTGATTTTTACATAATTCTTTCACTGCTTGATATATAAACTTGTTGTTAAGCGAATAAAAAAAAATGACGAAAATCGGGAATATTTGGACCTGCTATTATCAAAAAACTAAAGTAAGGACGGTAAAAATTTTAAAATTTTAATTTTCAAATGCGAATATCTCCTAAACTATAAGAGATATTTCTTCATTTGAGTTCCGATTTTTTAAATCGGAACTCAAATGAAGAAATAGGATCGTTTTAAAAATTTAACATAGCCGAGGTGTCCTAATTTGAGGACCCCCCGCCGGGCCCCTGGTTGGCCTATAAGGTCCAAACTCAAAACCTAAACTCGACAACACCTCCTCTTTGTGCATACCAAATTTCATCAAAATCGGATTAACCGTTTAGAAGTTACCGAATTATTTCCCTCTTTTTTTTTCCTATACCACTGTGTGACAATTAAAAACTTCTTAGAACAGCGAAACTGTTCTCCGTTTTTGTTCTACTTTTGATCTAGTTCTATTCTAGTTTTGTTATAATTCCGTTTTAGTTCTGTTATAGTTCTGTTCTAGTTCTGTTCTAGTACTGTTCTAGTTCTGTTCTAGTTCTGTTTCAGTTTTGTTTTAGTTCTGTTCTATTTCTGTTCTAGTTGTATTCTAGTTATGTTCTAGTTCTGTTCTAGTTCTGTTCTAGTTCTGTTCTAGTTCTGTTCTAGTTCTGTTCTAGTTCTGTTCTAGTTCTGTTCTAGTTCTGTTCTAGTTCTGTTCTAGTTCTGTTCTAGTTCTGTTCTAGTTCTGTTCTAGTTCTGTTCTAGTTCTGTTCTAGTTCTGTTCTAGTTCTGTTCTAGTTCTGTTCTAGTTCTGTCCTAGTTCTGTTCAAGTTCTGTTCTAGTTCTGTTCTAGTTCTGTTCTAGTTCTGTTCTAGTTCTGTTCTAGTTCTGTTCTAGTTCTGTTCTAGTTCTGTTCTAGTTCTGTTCTAGTTCTGTTCTAGTTCTGTTCTAGTTCTGTTCTAGTTCTGTTCTAGTTCTGTTCTACTTCATTTCTAGTTCTGTTCTAGTTCTGTTCTAATTCAGTTATAGTTCAGTTCTAGTTCTATTTTAGTTCTGGTCTAGTTATGTTCTAGTTCTGTTCTACTTCAGTTCTAGTTCTGTTCTAGTTCTGTTCTAGTTCTGTTCTAGTTCTAGTTCTGTTCTAGTTCTGTTCTAGTTCTGTCCTAGTTCTGTCCTAGTTCTGTTCAAGTTCTGTTCTAGTTCTGTTCTAGTTCTGTTCTAGTTCTGTTCTAGTTCTGTTCTGTTCTAGTTCTGTTCTAGTTCTGTTCTAGTTCTGTTCTAGTTCTGTTCTAGTTCTGTTCTAGTTCTGTTCTAGTTCTGTTCTAGTTCTGTTCTAGTTCTGTTCTAGTTCTGTTCTAGTTCTGTTCTAGTTCTGTTCTAGTTCTGTTCTAGTTCTGTTCTAGTTCTGTTCTAGTTCTGTTCTAGTTCTGTTCTAGTTCTGTTCTAGTTCTGTTCTAGTTCTGTTCTAGTTCTGTTCTACTTCATTTCTAGTTCTGTTCTAGTTCTGTTCTAATTCAGTTCTAGTTCTATTTTAGTTCTGGTCTAGTTATGTTCTAGTTCTGTTCTACTTCAGTTCTAGTTCTGTTCTAGTTCTGTTCTAGTTCAATTCTAGTTCTATTCTAGTTCTGTTCTAGTTATGTTCTAGTTCTGTTTTAGTTCTGTTCTAGTTCTGTTCTAGTTCTGTTCTAGTTCTGTTCTAGTTCTGTTCTAGTTCTGTTCTAGTTCTGTTCTAGTTCTGTTCTAGTTCTGTTCTAGTTCTGTTCTAGTTCTGTTCTAGTTCTGTTCTAGTTCTGTTCTAGTTCTGTTCTAGTTTTGTTCTAGTTTTGTTCTAGTTCTGTTCTAGTTCTGTTCTAGTTCAGTTCTAGTTTAGTTCTAGTTTAGTTCTAGTTCTGTTCTATTTCTGTTCTAGTTCTGTTCTAGTTCTGTTCTAGTTCTGTTCTAGTTCTGTTCTAGTTCTGTTCTAGTTCTGTTCTAGTTCTGTTCTAGTTCTGTTCTAATTCTGTTCTAGTTCTGTTCTAGTTCTGTTCTAGTTATGTTCTTGTTCTGTTCTAGTTATGTTCTAGTTCTGTTCTTGTTCTGTTCTAGTTGTGTTCTAGTTCCGCTCTACTTCTGTTTAGTTTGATTTTAGTTCTGTCGGAACAGTTAAATGTAGTTTAATAGTTGTTCTGTTCGGCCAGGCCTTAGGGAGAATGAATTCTACTTTAGAATTGGTTTAATACAGTTAAAAATTCGATTATAGATTTCATGAAGCAAGATGAACCTGGTTAATCGCAAAGTCGATGAGAACTAATTCTAAAAGTGCAAATTTTGAGCATTGGTCTTAATACCAAACTAAAATTAGTACAAGCTGTACTAGTTTCTGAAGTAATAGGATATTTCTTGGATTTGTTTACATATTATAGTAAAAAAGAAACAATTCTTAGAAAAAAGTTAGTTTTAACATTAGCGTTGCATGGTCGAGATATTTATGACATCTTTTGTCACGTTTCTTTCGCCATATTTACACTAAAGTCTCCATTTCAATAATTGCATATCATATATTGTATTTACGTTAATTTGTTTTTAGTATGTATTAAGGAAAAGAAATTTGTGTTCATATTGGAATTACGTTTTAATGCGAAAGAATAAAAAATTAAATAAAAAATGTAAATTTTGCAGTCAGAACTGTGGTTGGTACCTTTTTAGTACATTGTATTTTGTTAGAGCTTATTTATATGTTCATTTAATTAACATTTAAATATGAATAAATACAACAAACTCTAAGTGAAATGGAATAAATACAAAAATAAATATTTAAAATAGATATTCTGATATTAACAATTTTGTTGGTATTTTTTGTGGGTTTTTTATTTTATTTTACTCAAGCAGCTAATAATATATAGAAATGTTTGCACATGAATTAAAGATATAAACAACAATTGAATTACTTTTCAGACCATCGTGTAAATAGAGCTAAATTATAAAATAATTTTATTATTTATTTTATTATTATTATTAATTTTCTTTTGTGAAATAAACTAAAAGCAAAGAAATTGTTAAAGTATCGCGAAGGAAGTTTTGTTAAAAACTTCGCAATTTCAGCAATTCTGTATATTTTATATATATTTTGTATTTTGGAACTATTATGTATGTATGTATTTAAAAAGGAAAATTGCGATGTTTTACCTTCCCACGCATTCGTGTCTGCGTAGGTTACAATCAAAGTATCATGTTTTCTAATGTAAAGTTTTGACACCATTTGACATTTTGTGTATTTTATTTCAAAGTTAATTATTTTGTTTGTTAGCTAAATAATTATTCATTAGTTAAATAGCTTTAAAATGTCATTAAATGTACATTTAACTATTATTATAAGAGAAAAAAGGTTGTTGAAGTAGAAAATATGTATAGGACATTTATTACACTATCAGAAAGTATACCTAGGTTTCATAAAATACTTCAAAACATTATGATTTTTTTATCTTTTTCGAGCTTCAAAGAGTCCGTTTTGGACAAGTATAATAATATATGATATTAAAAAGAAACAAGTTTGATAATGCTTAGAATTTAC